GCTTATTAGCTTTCTTTATTTCTTTGAATTTATCTTCTATCCTGATAAAGATTTGTTAATATTTGTCTAACTTCCTATACCAGTTTATACCATTAGATTTTTTTTAATTATCTTGTATCACTGATTCTTGCATTATGTTCTCAGTTGCTATAGTGTTTTGCTTATATAATCTGTTTATGTATTTGTTTATATTTTGTTTATTTTGGGTTTTGTGTTGTCAGCTTATTCTCTTGTCTAAATTGAATACATATTTGTTTGTTTTGTTTTGTGTTTATATTTATAAACAAATCTCAGTACAGAGTCTATTATATATCTTCAATTTTTGACAAAAAAATTTTTATGTAGTTTTTGTTTTGTAAAAAGATTATTTATCTGTACTGTAGTCTTTTATTATTTGCTAGAATGTTCTATCTTTTTATAAAACTCTAGATATTTTTGGTATTCTTTTTTTTTTCCTTAATACTATTTGTGCCGTAACTTAGTCTAGTTTTTCTTCTAGCTAGTAGTGTTTTTTTTTTGCAAATTTGGTAAAAAAGGATTAGCAGAAAGGTTTTTTTAATATCTTTTTTTTTTAATTATGTACTTTTTTTTTTTTATTTATATATCTTTTTTTATTTTTTTTATTTTTTTTCTTTTTGTTTTATTAATATTTGTACTAATCATAGTTATAAAGAAGCAAACCTATCAAAAAAATTTGATAATACAACTGGCAAGTTTATTTACCTGTTTTACTAGTCAAGAAAATCAAAAGCAAGGATTATAAAAAATCTAATCATAAGTAATATATGCATTATAACTATAAGGGTAAAATCACAATACAAGTTAATACAATCCTTGGTTTTGCAAAAGTGAATATTCACTATGAATCCTTTCATCAACATCTAAATATTTGTGTTAAAATGCCAGATGATCTATAAAAAGAGATTAGTAAGTTTGCACAACTTACCATAGTCCAATTGACAAGCCATCTATGATGCAAATAGTTTGATCTTTCAAAATATTCATACAAGCACATATACTATTAGAAAGCCAGAGCAAATAAGAATATATACTAGCATCATGATGATCAGGTCGAATCTTCATGCAGGTTGCTTGATGAACACATAGATCAGGGTTTCTACAAATGCCTTGACTTACAAAATTCAGAATTTACAGCCTTTGCTTTTACTATCCCATTGTTAAAGAAAATCAATAATATCAAAATTCAGATTAATAAGATTTATATAGATGCCATATATAGAACTACACATTGAGAAAGTGGTGACTATCAATCTAATCTAGAAACTAACTAAAACACTATACTAGACTACTAAAAACTAGTCTACAACACTAGAATAAAATCAAAGCTTCAAGGTGGAAGACTTCGAATAGAGACATGAAGAGACTTGGTCTAAGAACTTAGAGCTTAGGTCTTATAATAATATTTTCTGGGCTTAGAAAGTCTTCTACTTGCTTTAACTTATAGGTTGCTTTGATTGTATTAAGAATTACAATGCTATTATTTCTATATCTTCAATTTAGATTATTCTGATCTTTTTGGATCATGTGTTACATTACTTTGATAACTGTAGTGATTGGTGATTTAATATTCAATTTAATCCAAGATCCTTTAGATCTATGTCATGGTAAAAGATGTCATAAATTAGATTTTTAATATGTAACTGATGTTTTGAGATTTTGATATTACAGGTAGATTGGTTAATCGAAGCAATTAATTTATAAAAAAATACAAGATCACTAATTTGATTGTTGTACTAATTAGTGATTACAATGCATTATGGGGAAGGTTAAGTATTTCAATAAGAGTAATTTAATTTACTTTTACTACATATTTATAATCAACAATTCTACACTAATATCAGGAACTTAATAACAGTTTTTGTTATAAATGAATTGGTTAAAGGGATGATTATGTTTAAAAACAACTTCTACTAGTTATTACTTCAAGTTTTTAAAATTTTATTAAGTTGTTAACTCTTGAGGAGTTACTTTTCAAGTGACAAAAAAACTCCCTTTTTATACATTTTTTGTTACTGCACAGATACTAAATAAAGGGCTTTTAAGCTACACAAGTTTAAAAAGTTCAAAAAGGACAAGTCAAGAAGTTCAAAAAGTATAGTTCAAAAAATCAAAGAAGTACGGGGTTTTTAGTTCAAAAAGTATAGGGAAAAAGCGTGGTGAAGAGTATACCTCTTCTAATAAGGAAATAATTTTTTATTATTTTTAGAGTCCTATATAGAAAAGATAAAAGCTACTTATAATTGATATATAATAAAATAAAAAAATATATATATATAATAATTTTCTGAGGCTGGGAACTGAGAAGCCCTTCACAGTTCTCTCCTACTTAATCCACAAATACTAAGAGTGAATATTTATAATAAAATCTAAAAATCTTCATCATTTAAGTGATGAAGCCAGCTGAGTGTAGAGTAAGTAGTTCAATATAACTATTCTACTCTATGCTATTTAAAGGCATAATAGGTACAGAGTGTGGCAATTCTATAATGTCGAGAGATGATACCATTGAGGCTTCAGATTTGAGCTCTTGTCATAGTATTTAAAATAGAGCCTAAATAGAAAGCAAAAACTAGACTTTCAATTTTGTTGTCCATTCTTAAAGCTCATTGCAAATAGTAGTAGATGACAGACACTAGGCAGTATTATCAGGTTCATTGGCAGCTGGACATGGTGTTAGATTGACATCCAAGGGGTCAAGAGAGTGTTGATCAAGAAGGATTTATTGGATAGAGGTAAGATTACTCTTTGTCTAGTTATTGTTGCTGTTGGAATTGTTTTATTGCAGTATTTGTATCTTTCACCCTTATTTATACTTTTCGTTCATAATAAAGCTTTAATAGCTCTTTATTTAGTAGGGCTGCTAGTATTTTTTCACTTATTTCTCTTAGCTTATATATGCCATTTGGAAGGTTAGCATGGATGTAGTATGGTTTCTTCTATTTGGATGCTAGTTTGTTACTGCATGTATCTAATTTTCTGGCATCTAATACAAGAACTTTTTTTCCTATATTAAAATCTTTGGTGACTTTGGTTTGCTGATTGTGCCATTCCTTCTGTTTTTGCTAAGCCACGTTGATCTAGCTCAATGCATTCTTATGAACTATGGGTAGATCGTTATCAATCTCATATAATCATTGTATGATAGTTCTATTTAGTAGATCTTCTGTTGCACTAGAATGTAGTGGTAACTGAGCTGATCTTCTATATACTAAGTAAAAAGGAGTTTCACTAGTTGTGGCTTGTTTTGCTATTCGATATGTAAACAAAATAGATGGTATAATTAAGTTCTAGTTTGTCACGTTTATTACTAGTCGGGCAATAGAGTTGTATAAAGTCTTATTAAAGTGTTCTACAAGCCCATTTGTTTTTGGATGATAGGAAGGTGGAGCAGTAGTGCTTAATGCTCAAAGCCGCGAGTAATTCATCAATCATATAGTTGTTAAAATGTGACTCTTGATCTATTAATATTATACTAGTGCAGCTATATTTGCATATTATTTCATCATAGATGAACTTGGCCACCTCTTGCGCATTGGCCCTGGAGATTGTGTAGGCTTCAGGCCATTTTGTCATATAATCAGTCACGACAACAATGTATTTGTTAGAACGTAGAGTAATAGGCAATAGACTAACTATAACAATACCTATTCTGTGAAATGGGGCTTTAATGGGTATGGGATGTTGTAGCTCTTTTGATTTTTGATTTCTGTGAAGCTGACAGTTTTTACATGTTTTTACATATTCACAAATATTATACTATATTTGAGGCCAATAATAATATCCACGAATTTTGTTGAATATAATATCTTTCCCAAAATGTTCTCCAGTGGGGTAATTATGGGCCAGGGTTAAGATTAATTCTAGCTCCTCTTCCCGTAAGACTTTTAACTAATTCTCTTAAACCTTTGAGTTTCATTTAAACAGATTTCTATTTTTGAGTTGGAAAAACCTGCTTTGTTTTTTCAGCCATTTTCATTGCTGGCTATCATAATGTTGTGAAAATTATCTATATTGCAAGTATGTTTTTAGTGCTGTGTATCGTTGTAGTCCCATTATTAAATTTCTGTATATTTTGCTTGGTTTTTGTTTCTTGTGTTGTGGCCAGAACACTGACAACCTGGACTGAATTGAATTTTATGTCAGATTTTCCTTTGTGCCTTATTTGAAGTGTTTTCTTGATCAAGTTTTATTTGCACAAGCAGCCCTACTTTGCTGCTTGTCCTGCATAAGAGTCAAATCTGCTCTGATTTTTCTTTTTTCTTTTTTGGTTATTTGTCACTTCCATAGTAGGCTAGGCTTCTCGCAATTTGTTAAAAGTTTTCTTTTATTGATATATATTTTTTTAATTCCAATTCCATTTTGGTAACAATATTCAATTTTGTATGGGTACTTCACTGTTTAGTAACTATCTCTTACTTGCCTGTTAATTTACACGGCATCATTTCAAGTGCTTAGTTTGTTTCCTTTATTCATCTTTCATTTCTAGAGTTCACAGTATTGGTGTCAGCCCTTAGTGTATTTCCTTGTATTGTCTGTAGTAATTTCTTCATCAAATTAGGCTCCAGTACTCTTGCTAGATATGTAATAAGTTTTCTTTCAAATAGGGCCCCACAACTCACCCCATGCATTCTGACTATCCTTTCTCTATTATTAGGTCTGTTTGAATATGCTTTCTATCTAGAACATTTATAGAAAGGAATATATTTGGCTTTTTTCTTCTCTTTTTTTTTTTTTTTATAATAATAATATAAGAATAAAAAAAAAATAATGTATTTACAGACTTTCACAAACTTCCCAGTCGATGTATTCATCCTATGACTAAGACTATTCTTCAGATTCAAGATCCATGTCTGAACATTCTGGAAATAAATCTGTATAGTTGGTTTCATACCAATTTAGATCGAAATTAAGATAGGTTGTATAATCTTTATTGCTTATAATATTGTGTTCTTCAATTCAAATTCTTGAACTAACTCTATCTATTTTGAAATATCAACTAGATATAATTCATCAATATCCATTGGTTGGGTACCGAATTCATATCCACTATCAGTTTCTACTTTTAGTTAGTATCTGGTTTGGCTAATTCAGGTAATTTTGTATCTAAATTCTTGGGTTAATTGTTGCAAAAGAGCTTTACTCTGTCTAGCTTGCTCTAGATAGATATTAATTTCTTCTTTAATTTTATCCTACTGGCCCATTCGGCATTATCAACCCAATTAATTACTTCCATATCTTCATCAATGTTGTCAGGAAAAAATTTTTGGGCAATAGCCCTAAAGATTTTCAATTCTTTGGCTCCTTCAGACATTTGGATTTCTGGGAGTATTTGCATGAATTTGGTCAGGTATTTTTCTTCAGCTTTCTTTATATCAGATGATTTTTTATAGTGGCTGATTTCTTTGTTTTTTTCTTTATTTGTTCTAGAGAATTTTTTAACTATTCTAGACAATGCATTAGCATTGTTGCATACTCTTCCTGATTGTGCACTATCATGAAGTTGTATGGTTGAAGGCGAAGAATCTATCTTGCTCTTCTTTCCTTTAGCGCACTATTGTGAAGCTATTTTATTGCTGAATGATCTGTGATAACAACAAAGGGTTTATACCCTAGGTACTGGTAAAAATATTCAATTGCCCAAACCACAGTATAGCACTCTAATTCTGTAGCTACATGGTTCCTTTTAGGTTGGATAAGGCTTTTGCTTGCATAGGCAATTGCATATTTTCATCTTTCTGGGCGAGCACAGCTCCGAGCCCAATACCAGATGTATCAGTGTATAGATAGAAAGTTTTCTGGAAATCTGGGTATCTTAATACTGGGGCAGTAGTTAGATGCATTTTTAGAGCTTTAAAGGCTCCCTCCTATTCTGGGCTCTACTTATATTTGGTTCCTTTTTCTAATAACTGGTGTAATGATTTTGCTATTTTGGCAAAGCCTCAGGTAAACTTCTGGTAATATGAGGCAAGGCCGATAAAGCCTCTTAATTGTCTTAAAGAATGTGGGGTGGAAAAATCTTCAACTTTGGTGATTTTTTCTTTGTCTGGCCTGATACCATCCTGGCCCACCTCATGGCCTAGGAATTTGATACTTTGTTTAAACAGTTTATATTTTTCTGGGTTTAATTTTAACTCTGCTACTTCTAACTTCACAAGAACTTGAGTAAGATGTGTCAGGTGTTCCTGGTATGTTTTTGAATAGATGATTATATCATTTAAATAGACAGCCATGAACTAGTCAAGGTAATCATAAAGGATATCATTCATTGCCTGTTGGAATGTGGCCAGGGTATTACAAAGGCCAAAAGGCATAACTTTAAAGACATAAGTGCTATATTTGGTTACGAAAGTAGTTTTTTCTTGGTCCTCTAGTTTCATCTGAATTTGCCAATATTCACTGGCCAAATCTAAGAATGAAAATCATTTGGCCTTGTCAAAGGTTTCAAGGAGGTCATCGATTCGAGGTAAGGGAAATATGTCCTTTTTGATTACTGTATTCACTTTTCTGTAGTCCACACATAACCTAAGTTTTCCATTTTTCTTGGGACTATTACTACAAATGAGGTCCATGGGCTCTTACTTTTATAAATAAGGCTGCTTTCTATCAACTTTTCAATTTTTTTGTTCAAGAAGTCTTGGGCATCAGGAGCGATCCAGTAAGCATTTTGTTTGATGGGTCTTGCATTTTCTGTATCAGTTTCATGCTAGATATCTTGATACTGGCCCAGCTGTTGTAGTTCTGCTGCAAAGAGTTCTTGGAATCTTCTTAGAACTCGAGTTGTAGCTTCTTGTTGTTCTTTGTTTAGTTCTTTAGTTTTTACTAATTTATCAATAGTTTCTTCTAAAGTTAATTCAGTTTGGTCAGTTTCTTTGGGTATTAGGAGCTCCTCCACTGCCATTAGATAGATAGCGGGGTTGTCAGTACCACTAGATAGGTGGTATGTGGATTCTTCTTCAGTATCATCTGTGTAATAGCTTTCAATTTCCTCTAATTCTTCTTCTTCATAGAAATCAAAAAGTCATTTTCTTCATTATCTTCATCCCATGGTGGCTCTTGCTTATCTTCCTTTGCCTGATATATTGGGACTTCTATGCATTTGCCCAAATATCTAAGAATAAGCTTCCTTTTATCAAAGTAGAGCTGAGCTTAGACTTTTTGGAACTAGTCCATTTCCAGAAGTATTATCTCTTCAGAATTTTTAATTACTTGAAAATAAGTATGTATTAAGAGGTCCTGAACTGCCAGTTTTACTCTGATTATTTTCCTAAGGTGCATTCCCAGGACCCATTAGCAGTAATAATGATCATATTCAAAGGTTCTGTGATGGTAAGACCTAATTTTTTGCTAGTTTTATCGAGATGATACTAACTGCAGCCTCTGAATCTAGTATTGTTAGAACTGGATTGTTCTTGACCCGAATATAGCATTTTGCTACAGTAGTTTGTTGGGTAGTTTTATTCTTAGCATAATTAGTGGCTTTAGTTGTAGTAATAAATGGACAACGTAGGGCTTGTGCAAGATTTTGCCTTTGCTTCAGTACTTGAAGCAATTGGACTTATGTAGCATTGGCATATTGTCCTAGAAGGTCTGTTGTAATATTATATAGTGGTGCCAAATCAACCATTGAAGGTGCTCATCTGCACCTAACTCAGTTGTTGACTTTCAGTTGGGGTTGAATTGGGGCTTGAACCAGGGTTTGCAAGATCTTTTCCATAGAGGTGGCTGAGCAAAGTTATTAGTTGTTGGGTTCTCATAGGTAACTCTTTTTTGAAGTCATTCATCCTACTGAGTTTTATTTTCTGGCCTCTCACATTATTTAATAGTATAGGCCTCCTCTCTAGAGCTATAAATATCACATAGGTTGACATTTCTTGTTTGTGTAGGTGCTCTACGAAAGTCCACATGAGGTTATCACGGATTCTGTTGTGGTTCTAGAGGGCAATTTCTAGCGATGTGTTCTCTTTCTTGACAATTATAACATTCAATACTTTTGTTTTGAATTGATCGAGACTGGTATGGGTGTCGTAAGGGGCAATTTCAATCTTAGCAGGCAAATTAGTTGATAGTTTTTCGTAATTGGCAGCTATTTGCTGCATTTTTTGTGTTAGGTTGTTAAAAGTTTTTTGTGTGATCATTACTATTTTTAGCTTCATAGTAATTGCCGGCTTCTATCTTCCTTGCTTTGGCAACTACTGCATCTAAAGTTTTCAATTCATCAGCAGACATAAGTGCAGCCATTTTTCCATAGAGACCTCCCATGAACATTCTTGATAAAGATTATAAAGCAGACGAGATTAAATACTTTTA